ATTTGAAACTGCTGCTGTTAAAGGCCTACTCTACCATTGTAGTCGTCTTCAACTTCCTCAACTTATGACTGTGTTGTGTGGGGGTGTGTCTGTGTTTGTTTTTGGGTTTTTTACCTTTTTTTTGGTGGGGTTTTTTAGGTTTTTGTTGTTTTGTTTTGGTTTTTTTGAGTTGTCTGTTTTTAGGCGAAGTGGCAGTTTGCTCTTTTCAGGTCACAGTGGGTAAAAATGCTGTGATTTTTTCAAAGCTCTACTTAAATGCTGACATGGGATTGCTGATTGCCTTGCTGTGACTTTTAACTGCTGTCAATTTAGTTACTGCCAACGGCGGAACATAATGACTTGTAATAATCCTTCAGGTTGACAGGTATGATCCAGAGCTCTTCCTCGTGTAGAGGAGGGAGAAGGTGGGGTTTGTTTGCAAGCTGCTAGCAGGGCAGTAACTTCCGTATGTCATACTTGTGCCAAAGAGCTTTGCGTGTAACTTCAGGTGCTGTTTCTGACTGCTCCTCTGTTGGTTTCCTGACATACAAAGTCCTGGTCTTGCCACAGTTTATGGCAGTTGCATGCTCCAGGTATTGCTTCCAGGCAAGAAAACAGTGAGCACAGAAGGTTGTAGGACAGTTTAATACTAGCTCTTTATGGTCTTTCAGCCTTTGGCATCTTTGAACTTACCAAAAAAGTTACTGCATCAAATGAAAGTATTTGTGGTTGATTGGTGTGGGGTTTTTCTGGTCACGTGGATGAGTTTTTGTTTTTGTACGTGAGTGGTCAATACTTTCAGTGATTTAGGAGACCTACTCACAGACTGCAACGCGTATTTGCATTCACAGCTGGAATTGTGCTGAGAGTGAGTCATCATTCTGCTTTACCCAACCTGTGAATTGAGGATTTCGGCCTTCAGTCAACAGGCTTTCCTCTGATGCTGCTTGTTCTTCAGCTTGGTTCTGAAAGCTGGTGCTGGTTTTTTGTTTGGTTGGTTTGGGGTTTTTTTTAAGTGCTATCCTAATATAAATGATGAGAGTAAAACACTTGATGCACTCGGTCTTTATACGTTTTTCTGTAGTGATCAGCTACTTAACTTTTGCATTTGGGGAACATTAGTGTCTTCAAGGAGTAGTTTTTAGTTTGGAAGATGAAGAGTTTTTTGGGGGAGTTGTTTTTTTGGGGGGGTTGTTTCTTTGTTGGGTGTTTTTTTGAGGAAATTAGTTTTATGGAATTTGCTTAAACTGAATAATGTTAGGGATTGTATGAAGTGTAAATATTTGCAGGTCTTATGTGCTCTGTGGCAAAATACTGTTTCTGTTGTGTTAACTCTTCTCTCAAATGAGTACTGACTTTTAACTAGATCTTTACTGTATCTAAAGCATTTAAAGAGATTCTGTGTACTATTTGCTAGTTTTAAGCAGAACAGTTTCCCTTCCCTAATTGAAAGTTAGGTGTTCACGCGGAATCTGTTCAGGAGAGAGACCTTCTGCTTTTTGGTGTTGTGGAAGTATTTACTAAGGATTTTTTTTTTTTGAGCATTGTTCAGATGACCTCCGCTTAAATTTCTGGGATTTTGTTCCTTTTAATGTCCAGATATTTTAGGTACAGTTAAAGCCAGCTCTTCAGCAAGGAGAGGTATGTAAGTAGAATGAAACTTGTTACAGAGGATGAACTGATTACAAGAGTGGTGTTCTGGTAAGAGTTATGATTCTTAGGTTATGATTCCAATTTAATTTTGGAAATAAAAACTATTAAGCTGAACTTTGACTGTAGTATTGTGATACTGCTGTGACAGATGCCTGCACGAGGAATCCCCTTCCTCCCTTCTCCAGCCCCTTGCGCTGTTGTGGTGCTAAGTGGGAGTTCTGTCCTCCGCTGTCTGGTTGCGCAGCCTCATAAAACAGGGACTGCGAAGTGCAAGGCACTTACTTGCCTGCTAAGAGTTGCAGCAGACTCTGCGAGGCAGCCTGCCTGCTACTGCTGACCAGTTTGTGAGGGCCAGTGGTCTGGTGAGGGACAGGTCTGGAGAGCCTTGCTCGGACGGTGACTTGAGAATTTCTGAGTTGGTGACTGGATTTGCATGGAGGAAAAGGTTAAATGGATAATGTTTTGGAGAGGGGGTAGAGAATAGGCATAAGCATGTTCTTCATTCAGGGATGTGTCATGCATTGCTGACAGAGATGGAAAAGCTTTGAGGAAGCCAGTCGTTTAAAATGCTGGTGGTACGTCAGTACTCGGAGCTCCTTACAATTAAAAGCATCTGTGATTCGTACTGTTCAGTGAGTTATTTCAGCTCTGAAAAGCAAGCTCTTATTTAAAATTTCAATTAGAGTACTAATTTCATTTGAATTTTGAGAGGGAGAGTCAGTTTTCAGCCTACCTTATCTGAAAATCCAAAGCTATTGAACTACAAACTACAGGTAAAACAATTGTCTATACACTAACTTTTACGAATTGAAAAAATAAAGATACAGTGTACAGGTTGGCATGAACAGATCAAGTCATCTGGGCGGCAGAGTAGCAAATTTATCTAAGACAGTGTTTAATATAACTCACTGTAAGTCATGGCATATTCTTAGTCCTTCTTGTAAGTGCCTACATTGGAATTCAGCAGACAGGTTTTTAGATCTTTTGTTTCTATCTAAAAGTTTTGTTCAGACTCACGTGCGTGTCCAGAAATCATCTAATATAGTCTTTGTTTTTCTTCTCATCTGTAAAAATGAAAATTACTTTTAAGTAATGCAATTTTAAGAATCCTAAATGAAAAAAAAATTAATGAAAAACTGGTTTTACTTTGTGTATCTTGGGGTTTCAGACTTATCTCATTACAGCTTGGATAAATAACTTTTAGAATTAAAAAGAAGGGGGTGTATAAAATATTTAGTAATAGATGTGTTAGCTGTGCAAACCCTTAATTCTAATACATGTCTAATTTGTTTTCAAATACTGAATTACACTATCATTATAGAGAATAGTACCATACCTATTTAAAAAAAAACTTCCAAGAGAAAAGCGGTGGCTTTTGGTGTGGTAAAACTCACTTTGTTCAAACAATAGTCATACTGAAAAATTGTTCTGCCACAGAGTAATCATCACTGCTTAAATTGTAGATTAGAAAGTGGAATGAAAGCCATGTTATTAACCTCACAAAATAGATGAGTGCTTGTCCTTGATTTGCCTCTCTTTTTTTTTTTTTTAATAGCTGTAAGGGTTTAAAATGGACTGATTAATTTAAATGTGGTATTGTAGAACCAGAAGGAAGATTATACTATGATATAAGTTAAATTTTTTACAGTATATATTTCTATTCCATGCTATAAATATGAAATGACTATAACCATAAAATCCATTAATGTGGGCTGCCATGATGATTTATAAAGCATAGTTGTCTTGCCGTTATTGTCAGTTGACTTTTGGTTTGCCAAAAGGTTCTTGCCGTAAACCTTTCTGTGTAGTAACCATATATTCAGATTCTTAACTCTGAAGTGTTACGTTTTATCTTGGAGGGGGAGCACTCTTGCTGTCATACCAGCAAAAATGCAGACTTATCTAGATTAAGTAGAAGAGACGAAAAGAAAGAGCAAGTTTACCAGCACTGCTTAAAAGGAGTCCAAACTTTCTTATTTGAAGGTAGAATGCAGTATATAGTTTATTCTGGCAATGCTTTATTACATGACTTAAAATTATGCAGGGCTTTAACTCTTTTCCCTGGGGTGCTGATTGAGAACAGGATCTATTTTTCTTTCTTCCTAATTTATTCTTTTTTTTTAGTATTTCAGCTAACATTTATCTGGAGTTCAAAACACTGCATAAGATGGGGGGAGGGTTGGTGGGGGTTTTGTGTGTTTTAATCAATGGAATAATGAATGATTATGGCTATGTTGGGTTTGGGTGGGGTTTTTTTTTTGAGAGAAATGTCTTTAAGGGCCAAATTTTAGGTAAAGAAAACAATAAAGAAGGAAGTTGGGATGAAATCATTAGTTTTCTTTTGTATATCCTGCTTTGTGTTATCTGGATACGGGGTTGGATGAAAATTTTTAAGTCAGCATGGGTTGATTCTTTTTTGTTGTTATTTATGTCAAGACTGATCTTAGTTTTGATCTTCGTCAACTTTAATCCTGGATTGTGTTTGTATTTAATGACTATATGCTTCTTTAATCAAAGCTTCCCTTGAAGTAAAAATTGAAGTTTCCCTTACTTGCTGCAAACTATTTTTCTTCATTGCTTAAAGGCCTTGATCAAAAATTGGACACTGACAGTGTTGATATGTAACTGTGAAACATCTTTTACTATCATCTCCTATCCTGTGAAGGAAATAGAGCATTTCAAGCAAAACAGGACATAATCTAGTTATGTGAAAATGTGACAATGAGCAGGATACTGCTACCGTCTATTCAGCAAGCCAGAGTTATTCTAATACTTAAATTCTTCTGTGACTTCTAGCGTGATTTGTGTAGGGTGTCTTGTTCATTTGTTTTATCTAGGTGACTCTGGCTCAGAGGTCATTTTTTTTTGGTCTTTTTCTGCTGTAAAACCTCCAGTAAAGAAGAGTGGTTTCTTAATAGTTACTCTTTTAACGTGTAGGGTCCCGTATAAATGATGTCTTTGCTTGACTGTCAAGTTTAACAGTAGCTATCCAGTGGTAGAATTCTTTCAAGTATGTTGTTAAAATGCACCAGAGAACTTCTATGTAAATAATAATTGTAGTCATGAATCTTATGTTTTTTGTTGCTTCTATGGGTAAACAAAAAGGCTTTTTATTATGGGATGATCATGTTTAGACTTTGCATTTACTGGTCTTAACGCAACACCAGGAGATAATAGTTTTATTGCATGCTGTCAGGTATTTGTGTTGTTGATTGATTTATTGTAGTAGTTCTTAACAAAGTTCTAAATTTTTTTTTCCCCCTCACCAGACCTTAATTTATTTTGGATTAGGATTTCCATGGCACGTGAACTAGAAGATAATTTGAAATAGAAGTTCTCTTTATTTTGAAGTGACAGTCTTTATCAAAATGGTTGGAAAACTCAAACAGAACTTGCTATTGGCATGTCTGGTGATCAGTTCAGTGACAGTGTTTTATTTGGGTCAACACGCTATGGAGTGTCACCATCGAATAGAAGAACGCAGCCAGCCTGTGAGGATGGAAAGTGTGAGAAGCACAGTAAGAACTGCTTCCAATGTAAATGCAAACAAAACCTTTGCTTACAACAAAGACATGCCTTTAATATTTATTGGAGGAGTACCTCGAAGTGGCACTACCTTAATGCGTGCCATGCTTGATGCCCATCCGGATATTCGATGCGGAGAAGAGACAAGGGTAATCCCGCGAATTCTGGCAGTTAAGCAGATGTGGGCTAGATCAAGCAAAGAGAAGATCCGACTGGATGAAGCTGGAGTCACAGATGAGGTTCTGGACTCAGCCATGCAAGCATTTTTATTGGAAATCATTGTGAAACATGGAGAGCCTGCTCCGTATTTGTGTAACAAAGATCCTTTTGCTTTAAAATCCTTAACTTATCTTGCTAGAATTTTCCCCAATGCCAAATTTCTTCTAATGGTACGGGATGGTCGTGCATCTGTGCATTCCATGATATCTAGAAAAGTCACAATAGCTGGGTTTGACCTTAACAGCTACAGGGACTGCTTGACCAAGTGGAATCGTGCTATAGAAACTATGTATAACCAGTGTATGGAGGTTGGTTTTGAAAGGTGTATGCTGGTACATTACGAACAACTCGTATTGCATCCTGAAAGATGGATGAGAACTCTCTTAAAGTTTCTTCGCATACCGTGGAACCAAGCAGTGCTGCACCATGAAGAAATGATTGGAAAAGCAGGGGGTGTTTCTCTTTCAAAGTGAGTATGAGCATTACTCATTTACCTTGTATTATTCTAAGAGGTAAAATAGTACGTCTTGCATATAAAAGACTAGTCATGACTTGGTTTCAGTTTTTAAGTAGCTAATGATGTCTCGGGAAGCTGATTCATGATGCAGATTGTCTGGAAAGTAGGAATGATTGTTAACTAACAATTTGCAATCTGAGATTGCTCCCGCTAAATGATTGTCCCGCTAACATATGTGTATGGAGCATATGAATGATCTTTTAATGAATGGTCAATCTAACTTGAATTTGGATGTCTAGTATCAGCCTTTCTTCCAATATAGCTTTGTTTTTCCCTGTGCCCCAAAATAAAGCTGGACTATTTTATCTAGACTAGTGTTATTCATCCTAGCAAGATCACCCATTTGATTTCAGGAACTTAAGTATTGTTGTCAATGCAAGAATGGCCTTCGAGTTATATTTGCCAAGAACATACTCTTCCAGGAAACTTGAGAAACTGTTCCAACAAAATAGAAAGCAGAATTGGCCTGCTTTTCTGTTGGCATGTGCTCCTAAAAGGACAAGCATTTTGAATAAAATTAACCTTGTTGTAAGCAAATCTCTCAGATGACATGACAGAATACCGTGTACCTGACTTAGCTACTTTCAGAAACCAAAATCCAGCTCTGCTTAGAAAACCTAGAG